TCATATATCTTGATGAAGGCTAGCCTCACATCCTCATAATCATCCACCATTTCTTCCAAGTGGAATGCATGCCGACCTTTTGCGGTTCCTGAGGCACCAACACCTGTTCCAGCAGCCAGATCAGACCCATGATGAGTCACATAATCTTTGTTTCTCGAGACAGAGTCACCACTGTCGTCTTCAACAGTGAGAGGCGCTAAGATAGTTGTTGGATTTGCCAGGGGGTTTCGACTTCTGGTTCGAAGACGCTGAGTCATCAGAACCACCTTCGATTCAACCTTTACAATTGCAGTACACTTATGTTTCTTGGATTTTAAACCACCAGCCTTGTCAGATGCAACAGCCCTCTTTGATTTGACCGGAGATGAATCTTCAGCGGTGTTAGTAGCATTTCCTGATGACTTAGTCATGATGATTTCTGCAAATCACAAAGAAAATGAGAGCCAGACGCGAGAGAAAAGCAGAGAACCAAGAGATAAATGTGAAATGTAGGAGAGAAAGAAACTAGGGTTGAAATAGGGAAAACCAACAGTTACTCGTGATAAGACAGGCAGCGGCGTGAGCAGTTCGTTTTTTCCCTCACTTTTCTTATTTTTCGGAAAAGTAAACCGCCACTCGAGAATCTTCTTTTCCGAACCATCTTCAAGCCCATTATTTTCCTTTAAGAGAGTCCAACAAGATATCACGGAGATATATGGGCCAACACCTACACAACACTTATTTCCAACTAACTGAATGGAACCAGTTCATTAATAACACAGGGTTCAAACCAAAATAGTAGAAAACGACAAAAAACAAAAGGAAGGAACTTGACCAGGTAGGAAAAAACTAACATAAAGACAACCCATGAGATTTAAAATACACAGGACAGGAGATGACAGTAATACAAGAACCTAGAACTAGTCGTATATACATACAATCAGACTCATGCAGCAATCACATAAACAGGGAGCAGCAGAAATACAACCACTGTGAACCGAGTTGCAACAGACGAAAACCAGTCTTCGAACATCACTGATTTTCTAAGAACAAAATATGCGAACCAGAAAGAAAAGAAATTGACCAAGATATATACATATGTATACAAAATATAGACACAAACCCTCAGACTTGTTCAAGAAAACATGTGACAACACATGTTGACATCAGAACAACAAGCGGAAGTCTTTTTTAAGGTGATTCAACACACCAGCCCACTGAGGTAGATGTTTCTCACAGAGGAACTTTCACACTCAGTGATCAACTCAGAATAGTCTTCACATCAGCATACATGTTCAGACTCTGTCAAGAGAGGTACAGACACATAGAAGAAATCCCCTTCCCAATTCATTTTAATTTTGAGCAAGTGATACAGACTACGTCACATTTTATTTTCCTCTTATAACTTCCCCCTTTTTTCTAAC